ATTAATGCAAGGCTGGGTGCAGCAGGCTCGCTGTCAAAAGTCCTAGAAAAACAAATTTTCTATGGCTGAGGTGTCGAAGAGCAAGAAAGCTTCCGGTAATTTCCCTGTTTCCGGATTGCCGGTGTCCAAAAGTAGCAGATTCCTTTGAGCGAGGATTTATGAGCCTTGAAATATGTTAAAAAGGAACGCATAATTGCGCAGTGCGCCTGCACTGTAGTCTCAACCACAAGGTTGCGATGAATTGTGCGATTTTGTGCGATGAAAAGCCCTTGTTTTCCCCACCTTTTCGAGAGCTTTCGAATCGTGTAAAAATCATTCCTGTCTTAACTTTTTCCGGTTCGCTAGAAGGGGTTGATTTTTGGGACCCCTATGCATCCGTTTTGAGTTTTTGAAAGCTAGACATTCGCCGAAATCCACCCAATTTTTCCGGTTTTAAAATCACGGGTTAATGCCTTTAAAAACTGCACTCTAGTTTCTCCAAACGATCAATTTGGCCCTATCACACCCCCGGATTCCGTACTTTGCACATCGAGACCGCCCGAATTATTCCAATTTGCACTTGGATGAGACGCGTGTGGTGGTGGTGACTCTCCCCCCTTTCTTCAACTGCCCATGGTGCGCCGGGTCGCCCGCTTCTATTTGCCGAACAGTTTTTATGTCGTCTTCCCATGGGGGATAAACGAGTGGTTGGTGGGGGGTGATGGTGATTGCCCAGCCACCAACCCCTCATCACTAACCCCACACAAAACCCTTGGCAAAGTTTAAAGTCAAGGGTGAGGGTGGTGGGTATGTTTGAGGGGCTACCTGTGGCGTGTGCCCGCCAGCACCACCCGGAGAAGTTGAGTACCGTTCGGCTTTTCGTGGGGTTTTTTGGGGGATTGGGAAAGTTGCGATCGGAACGCTGGGGGATCGGAAAAAGGTTCGAGGTGAAGAAAATATATTTTAAGTGAAATTTGCATTGAAAAGAGCCTATTTTCACAGGAAGGAACTCTTGGTACCGTTCTTTTTCGAAGGCTGGAAAATCTGTGGGTGGAAAATTTGTGATGAACTACGCCTTTTTTGTCATAACTTTTTAATATTGCGTTATTATGAGCTGTAATGAAAACTCTGAGTGTATTTTTTGCTCTATCGAATAGCGTAAGAAATTTATAAAAATACCGAAAACAAAACGTCGGATAAATGGCGCAAACTAGCTTGCGTCTTTATGCTCACAAGTGAAATGTTTTTGTTATTTACTTTTTAATATTGAGTTCTAATGAGCTGTAGTGGAAACTCTCGGAATATTTTTCGCTGCTTTATCAAATGGCGTTTAGGAAGTTTTCTCAAAATAACGAAAATGGCTTTCGTTTCTACGCTCCTAATTAAAAACCGCGTCTAAATCTTCATTCTGTCTTAAATATTTTATATTATATTGTTTTCAGATTAAATGAAAAATGTTGGTATCTTTTTCGATGCGATATCGAATAGCGATATCAAAGTATCAAAATATCGAAAAATAACGAAAATATCGACAACGACTGGTATTTTTACATTGTATATGCTCTAGCGAATAGCGTCGAAAAATCCTGCGAAAAATGAACAAGAATATCGCAAACTTTGAGACCTTGTTGAACCACTTCCTAAAATTATTTTTCTGACAAAATAGATTTTTTTGTACTATGTAGGTCGAAGCCCTCCAAAAACCTTTGAAAGCGCCTTTTGCAGCGTAAGTACACAGATTCCTTGCAACCGTCCCCCTTCTCGCCGTCCCCCGTCCAATCTCTGACCGAACAGCACGTTGCAACCGCAGCGCTCTCTGAAGATTAGGAGTGTGCTCGTCGCCTTGTCCCTCCATCAGGTGTTCGGATTGTCCGGAAGGTCGTGGGGAATCCCTCAATGCATAACCAGTCAAATCCACTCAAAGCGACACACTTTTTCACACCAGTATTCCCGGATGTTCCGGGGGCCAAAGGTCTGTATTTGCCGTGCACCTTGAGGAGGTCGATTATGACATCGTTGCGATGGGCTGGTTGCAATAATCACGTCGTTGCGGGTCGTTAGGGGGCAAGTAGCAAAATGAAAATGAGAAGAGGGCTTTTGAAAAAAAGCGTTTGTCTAATTTTATAACACAGGTTATTTGGTGAAGCACCATCACAATACTTTTTAGGTTAGTGGTGCTGCAAGTTATGTTAAACGTTTTTTAACGTTTTTCCTCCTTTCTCAAGCAAAATCGCTTAAAGGGGCACCGCAGTGCCAATCAAGGCCTTTTTGGGATGGGTCATTGATTTCTGATAAATTAGACTTCATAGAATTCTTAGGTTCTGAGCTAACTGCAATCTCACTCAAGTTTGAATATTTTTGGTGTTTAGGCATCGACGTTTGCTCAGAATCGTGCTTCGGGGGTTACGACGACTAATTTCCAATTTGAAAGCTTCCCCACGTCCCGGGGCGTACAGAGGCCTTCGACGTACAGGGCTGTGATTTTCCAGCCATAACCCATTTTTGGCACTTCAGGGCCCCTTTAAGAGACAGCGGCAAGCGGAAGGCGCTGTAGGCTTTCAAGGAGCCAATGCTTCCTAAAAATTTCAGAAAAAGGTTCGAAATGCCAGCAATAAAGCTCCGAGATCTGTGTTTTTTCAGGGCAAGATCAGATCAGGTTGCCAAATTAAAGCAGCTATCCCGCTATCGAAGCCAGCTTTTGTATTTTGCGCGCGTTTATCGCGTGGCCGCCGCCGAGGTTTCTGAACTGATTGCGCAATGAAATGGCTAGTGCGCGTTGCATGAGAATTCGACTCGGCTGTTTTTTTCGATGCGGTTCGCAACAACTCGCTATTTCCCAAGTACACCTCCACCCAAAAGCTCCTCGAACGCTTCCGGTCCCCCCCTCCCCGAACTTTTGTACTCGTCAAGAGCACCTGCTCACTGTTGTGCCCGGTTCCAGACAAAATACCCCTCCCTGCCCCTCCGGCCGCCGGTACACAAAAAAGGTGCGAAAACGGTACCAGTTGTATCACCGGCGAGGATGGCGGTGTGTATTTGCGCATATTCCCCGGGCAGCTCAACAGTCAATCGAGTGCGGGCCATTGTTTGGAGCGCGCAAATACAACCCGTCGACAAATAGAAGGTAAAAGAAACGGACGGACAGACAGATAGAGGGGACAGAGCGACAAAGAAAAACGACAAACTGAGCCGATTCAGGGGAGCCAGAAACGGACCAGTAACCCCCTTGTATCGGCATGAAGCTGTGAGGGGCAGGCGTCAATAGGTTGACCCGGTACTTGTACTAGTTGAGGTGTAGGCAGGTCATAACAATACCCTTATAGGTAACCGGATGGTTAGACTAAAGATCAGAATAGGCATAGGTGGTGTTTTCAATAAGCGCCATGGTAAAATCCGGAAGCACACTTGTTTTTCCTTCCGCTAGTCAGGAGCGCGTTTGCTTTTTAGGGCAGCTGTTCAGGCAGAAGCTAACTCTGTTGTAGCTTCGGCTTTTCAGCATTTTTTCGGAAACCTTATTGTTAGTCATTTCAGCAACGCACTGATCCAAGGTTAGTCTATCCACACCCCGTCATGTTTGGTCCTTTCGCGTAATTGTTCAGAAAATTCCCTTCCACAGGATCGTTTTCTAAAATTGCAAAAGTCCTCTGGTTAAAAAATTACAACACTTTTTGACGGCCAAGTTACCGAAAATTCCTTTTTATACGCCTTCAAAAAATTCCTCGAAAATCTTTGCGGGCAACAGATGCCAAACATTGGAATAAAAAAATTTGTCCGCTATCAAATGGGCTGCCTCACCGACCTCTAGAAATTCGTCAAACTCCGAAAGTTGGCCACTTAAAAAAAAACACTTTTTCGAGCATACTGCTCCGGAGCGTGGTTAGGAGATAGATTCGGGCGTTCGTTCCCATTCGCTCTGGAGGCGTTTGGTTTTAAATTAATGTTTAACTAATATTTAAATTAATTAATTTAATTAAATTAATTAAATTAATTTTAAACCCAAAAGATTAAAGCTTTTAACGGAAAACCCGCTGCGATTCCCAAAGATTAGAACCTTACAGGGTCGACAAAACATCTGCAACACTTTGGCACCAAAAATCACACTTTCTCTCACCCACACACGCTCAAATCAGCGAAGAAAGCGTGGCACCAAGTGTAAAGAGGTTGGTGCTGCGGGGCCCAAAAGACTTTTGAGTTTTTCGCCCCTTTCTTTGCTCATTTCCCTCCTTTCTTCTCGGGCTCTCCACCCGCGAGGGTGCCAAGGGTTTACCAGTAGCGCTGAGGAGGGTGCCCCCCCTCATCGCCACCTTCAACCCCTGGCGATGTTTGTCGGTCTGTTTGCGTGTTTGTCGGTAGCAAACCAGCCCACCGCCAGACGCCCGGCGACACAAAAAGAGCGCGCGGAATTTGCGCTGCATTTTTTTTTGTAGGGTTAGAGAGGCAGGAGCTAGAAAGATTGTGAAAAACTCTCAAGGGACAGGTGAATTTTCTCGGATGAGGCTTGAAAGGGGCTCCGAAATCTGTTCATTCAGCCCCTGCGTTCATTCCTTGCAAATAACCAGTTGCGACCGCAACGCGACCGCGCCGCATGATCTTCTGCCCCTGCTTGGACGTGAAAACGCTTGAATTTCAAAATTCTGTAGCCATTTCGGCTATCCTCATCGAATTTTGTATCATTCTTGACTTTTTAATGATGAAATTGATCGAGAATCACCGAGATCGAGAGATTTAGTGTCTTACAAGACATTACGACATTTAATCGCCGCCCACTCAAAATGCTGTTTTCGCCCCGGAAACATTTCGGGTTTACTCTAATATTTTATGTTTTTTTTTGCAACGGAATAGTTTCATACTGCGACTGTTTTAATGGGTCTGTATTTTGTCCAAATAAAATCTTTGTATTTTTTCAAGAGCTGAATATTTGGTTCCTGACTAAATTGTTTATGACGAGGTACAAATCTTGAAAAATGGATGAATCACAAGACGGAAATGGGAAAAGTCCAACAAGAAAACCAATAAATTTAGCGATTGGGATGATTCATCATCGCCGACTGGTAAAGAAAATAAGCGGTATAGTAGCCCATCGCTACCATTTGGGCAAAGTCCATCGTCCATAGAAACATCATGCCGATCTGGCCAGCGATGCTGGATTCCTTTTTCCAAACCGTGCATGCGCCGATCGCGAAGTGGGCGATGGCGAGCAGCAGGCAGAAAAAGGCTTCTAAAATCCGTAACTGGTTAAAGGGACTGCAAAGGTGAAGGAAAGAGCGAGTGAGAGAGAAGAGAGAGCGAGAGAGAGAGGTAGAAAGAGAGAAAAAGAGCGGAAAAGAGAGAAAGAGAGGGAGAGCCAGAGACAGAAAAAGAGAGAGAGAGAGAGCAAGTGTTAGAAAGAGAGAGAGACAGAGAGCGTGAGTGAGAGAGATATGAGATAGAGAGCTGAGAGCGAGAGAAGGAGAGCGAGTGGAAGATAGATATATACAGGCCCGTAGGAGGGGGGGGGCCAGGGGGCCCTGGGCCCCCCCCAAAATCGGTCGAGGTCCGAAAAATTCGTACGGGGGGACCCTTATGATTTTTAGTTACAAAAATTTTTCTGCCTGCGGCGCTGTTTATTACTGTTTTTTCTAACAGTTTTTGCTTCTTTGAAGCCTATTTTTTCAAAATATTTTGCTTGCGGCGCAGGTTTTTCATTGTTGAATCAATTGTTCTTAAAAAATTTTCGCCTGCGGCGCGTTTTCTGCCGTGTTTTCACACGAATTTGGGTATATCGAACGCTTTTTTGCTTTTTTTTGCCTGCGGCGCTATTATTGACGCGATTTTCGGATGTTTTAAAAGTGGCGACCGAGGGGGGAGGTCACCAAAATTTTTGGGCCCCGAAATTTCGGTTCCGCTACGGGCCTGGATATATATGAGAGAGGGAGAAAGCGAGGGAGAGAGAGAGAGAGAGAGATAGAGAGAGAGAGAGAGAGAGAAAAACGAGTGAATCGAACGCTAGAGAATCTATTATCATAATCACAACTAATCTAAATCTTGAATTTCAAAACTTACGGATGACCAACGGGTGGAAGAATTCCTTCGAGGCTTGGTAGTACACAAATTTGGGCTGGGGTATCTTCAAATTCTTGGCGTTCAGCCACGGATTCTTGACTCCCTTCTGCCCTTGCAGCGGGATAATCTGAAACATTAGTCAATAAAAATAATGAAATGGGATGGTCGAAAAGGTTTTAAAGTTTGCGCTAACATTTTGGAAAAAGACAAATTTCCGAACGATAAGTGAAAATGCATCCTTCGGAAAGATGCAAGATACCTCATTTAAGTTAAGCGGCCGCAGACACCCGGCGCATTTCAGCAGCCCGGCCATCTTCTTGGCCGCAAATTCGACAAGTCCCCGCATGCAGCTCGCGCAGAATAGATGACCACACGTGGTGACGACCATGATTCCCGGATCGCAGTCTTCATAGCACACTCCGCATTCTAGGCTAAAAACAGAAAAAAAAATTGATGTGCAATTAAGTTGGAGAATCGTGGGTTTGGGCGTTACTCGTTGCTGCTTACAAGGGAACCACAAGTTGGCACGGTGGAATTTCGAAAAACGCTCGCGGCTACCCCTAGGTTTTCGACGACGGCGATTCCAACGCGCTAGTCAGAATTAGCTAAATCGACCTGTGGACAGAGATACAGCACTTCCGGAAAAAGGTCAATTTACATTCGGAGGAATTAGCATTCACCTCAGGGTTTATGAGGGCTTCCCATCTGAGAAGAATCACCAGTTGAATGGCCGGGTGGTAAGCGGCTAGCTTGTTAGGATACTGACCAGGGTTTGAATCCGTTCACGACTTTTTTGTTTTGCTTTTTGGACGGAAGTTTCGATTTTTTCACATAGTAAGCTTGGTGATAACTGGCTGGTGGTAAGGCCGATTCCTGCAAAAACGTTTTGAAATTGCATCTTGATGCGACGGTCCCTTTCAAACGAACGAGTAGCTTTTAGAAGCTTGTAGTTGCTCAAAGTTCCGTCCAAAACGTAAAACAAAAAAGTCGTGGACGGATTCGAACCCTGGTCAGTATCCTAACAAGCTAGCCGCTTACCACCCGGCCATTCAACTGGTGATTCTTCTCAGATGGGAAGCCCTCATAAACCCTGAGGTGAATGCTAATTCCTCCGAATGTAAATTGACCTTTTTCCGGAAGTGCTGTATCTCTGTCCACAGGTCGATTTAGCTAATTCTGACTAGCGCGTTGGAATCGCCGTCGTCGAAAACCTAGGGGTAGCCGCGAGCGTTTTTCGAAATTCCACCGTGCCAACTTGTGGTTCCCTTGTTAGATACAGCGTAAGAAATTCTGCCTTTTTGCACCCCATCGGAAACGAACTACATTGTTAAAACTTACCTGACGCCTTCAGAAGCTTCAGCAGCAGGTGGGGCCGGGACCGGATGAATTTCTGACATTTTTGACGTTGGCATTCAGTCAGTTATTGGCGGTCAGAAGTGAAATTCAACTACTTGCCAGGATCAAAACGGATGAGAAACTCAATCAGTAACATTCTTACTTTGTGCATCTGCAAGTAGCTTTGGGCCGCCAACATCTGCGCCCCGATCGCTAATCTGGTAATTTCACCGCCGAAGGGTTACGGCGATCCGAACTTATAAGCGAAGATCGATAGTTAAGGGATAGAGAAAGCGGGGGAGTGGGAGAGAGAGAGAGAGAGAGAGAGAGAGAGAAAGAGAGAGAGAGCAAGAGAGAGCAAGGCAGTGGGGGCATGAGTGTCATAAGTAGCTCCAAAAATATCTTGAAATAATCGAATTAGCTTGTAATATGCTAAAAAGATCATATTGCCAAGTGTCTCAATCTCTATCTTTCGCTCTCTCGCCCTCACTCTATCTCGCTTTCTCTCGCTCCCTGTCCTTCTCTCACCCTCTCTCTCTTTCTTTCTCTATAGCTCTTTCTCATTACCTCTCTCTCTCATTCTCTCTTTCTCTATCTCTTTCTCTCTCGCTATCTCTCTCTCTCTCTCTTTCTCTCTCTCTCACTTGTATCGCACTCTAACCCCTTCTACGCTTCCCATTATTTACACATCCTTTAGATTATGATCTTCTTTATTTTTAAGAAATCTTTATCGACATTATAGTAAAGGTGCGGACGGAATGGCAACGGTAGTATGAGGTTCGGATTAGATAAAGACACAACACAACAAATTGCAAAAAGAAGAGGAGAAAGGGACTATCACAGTTCACCGATTTTGCGGGTACAGCCTGACCGGCCCGCGCAGGCAAAATTTTCGGCAAATGTAGGCTTTTCGGGTCATTACAATCAATTGGACGGCATCCATCACCCAAAGACCCAACAGGGCTGCCCGTTCCGCCTTGTCAACCTCGCCCGCGTAGGCGGTGTGCCCGATGATGAGACAGTGGGCGAAGGCGAGGAAGCCGAACACGATTGAGCCTGGAAAGTGGTTTTGAGTAAATTATTTTCGTAATTCGCAGGGCATGGTGGCAGAGGTTCTTTGCGGAAGTATTTGGAGGATGAGGGGCAGGCTAGCAGGGATTCATTGAAAGGTTTTAGAAGAAGTGGAGCGCAAGTTGGCAGAGATTCCTTGTTAATCTTAGGGCGGTGGGATGGCAGGCCAGCAGCGATTCTTTGAGCAGCTGGCCAAAGGCGGGGTAGGCTAGAAGATATTTTGATATTCAGACGCATAGTTGCAAGCTGGCAAAGGTTTTTTGAGAAACGAGCCGGAAGCAGGGGCAAGCTCATAGAGGTTCTTTGAGGAATTTTGAGCGTTCAAGGGGCAGGCTAGCAGAATTCTTTGAAAAAACCGTGGCTCTTCGAGGGGCAGGCTTGCAGAGATTCTGTGAGGAAGTACGAAATTTCCATAAGGCAGGCTAGCAGAGACAGTTGATAAATTGGCCTAAATAAACGTACTGCCCATCATATTCCAAAAGAAGTCGCGTGGTACTTGAAAGTATGCGTAGTTCGATGGAGGAACAATCTGCTGGGGCCACGAGTTCCGGTTCTTCCACGGATTCTCGATGTCGCTCTGCCCTCGGATGGGGATTATCTGAAAAACGGGGTTTTCTGGATCTCTCTCTCTTTTCTCTCTCTCCCTCTCTCTCTCTCTCTCTCTTTCTCTCACCTCCTTCTCCTTCAGCGGCTTGTTACAGGTAGCACACTTCACGCTCCGCCCCCTCTTCTGAGCAGCAACTTCGACAAGTTTGCACATGCAATTCGCGCAGAAGATGTGACCGCATGTGGTAACGACCATGATTCCAGGATCGCCGCCCTCGTAGCAGACACCACATTCCAAGCTGAAAATATGCGGAATTACGGTAGGTATCGATCAACGAGAATCGAGCCTCCAAAAGACGCATCAAAGCGACATTGGTTTTTCAAAGTTTTCTGATTTCCGAACTCGAGATTTCAGGCAGTTTATGAAATCAATTCAAAACGTGTTTGTGCCTGTCGTCTAGATGTCTAGGAGCTCGATTTTCGCGTGTCCCGGTTGTTTAAGCTCCTTAAGTTACTATTTTAGATACCTAGAGGAGGTGCAAATATGCAAACTACTCAAAAAAGGTATTTTTGCATTCAATGCTTTACCTAACAACGCCAGAAGTTTCCGGCTCGTCGGCGGGCTTCAGTGGAAGGAATTGGGGCTCGGTCATCTTAAGAAATTCGCCTTTAGCGAATTTCGGAGTGAAATGAAATTGAAACAATTTAAGGACGAAGCACTGACGATTCCCAAAGGCCAGGGTCACCAGATGCGCACCTGGCGTATCATCGATCCGTATATTACCTGCACGCTGACATCTGCCCAGCCGATCTCTAATCTGTTAATTGGCGCCGCGCGCGGAAAGAAGGGGAAATAGGCGCTTGTTAATGGGTTTCAAGTGATGCTAAAACAAGCTCGGTCACTAGCTGGTCTACCCTAGCATGAAAGGCGAGAAATTGAGTCTTCGAGGCAATTTTCAGCGACATAAATTGGCCTACAAAAGCCAAAAACGTGTTTTGAAAAGCTGGCATAGGCCATGGAAGTCGGGGTGGGCTACCAAAAACCTTTTGACTGGCCGCCAGGGCGATATCGATTAGTTTTCCAACGCTGAATCGTAATTTTTGAGATGAGGGGGTCCAGACGTCAGATCCAAAATCCAAAAACGTCACTCGGTTTGCGTCATTTTTGGAACTTTCAAGCGTATATGGCGTTATTAACTAACTTACCAACGCCATGTCGAAGCTTTAATTTTTGAGATGTTGGCGGGGAAACCGGCCCGCAGATTGAAGTATTCCTTGTTCAAAATTGTGCCTTGGACTCTTTGTTTTGGAGTTAATAAAAAACTTCGTTGGCTTTTTCCTTTTTCGAAACTGACGGAACGTCAAAATTACGGAAAGAAACCGCTAAGGGGGATTACGACATATAATTCGCGCAGGCTCAAAGAATCGTTTTTACCCGCATGAATTTTGTTTTTTTCCCAAAATCATTGGGTTTTACGCAATGTAAAAATAGATGGATACTTATTAATAAGATTCCTTGTTTTTTCACCATATGGCCGATTCCTGAACGTTCAATCTTTGACTTCCCAGCCCCTTTAAGCTTCTCATGAGCTCAAGGGCCGTGCTCGTATGCTTCTAGATGGTCTGGGCCCTGAATACTGTTTACTATCAATCCTGTAAGCCACACTTTTCCATAAAAAATCCCTCAAATCACCTTGAGATCCTCGCTTTCCTCAAGAAAAAACCTTCCTCCCATCCCCGCCCAGCTGACCGCGAAAAGGAGTGATGGGCTGTGTGTTGTGTTGTTGTGGCCTTCATTTCCGTTAGCTGCTGACTCTGGTTCTCTCTCCCCCTTTCTCTCTCTCTCTCTCTCTCTCTCTCTCTCTCTCTCTCTCTTCCTGCCTTTCTCTCGCCCATGCCGACTCCCGGATTGATCAGTCGTCTCGGGATGAGTAGTAACGGGCAGCTCAACCTATCGACTCTCGTATGCTTGCTATTGCTATTTTTGGGCTGTAACGGTAGGTGCAATATATCAAGTAATTTTTTATCTTAAAGGGACATGGAAGGCTGAAAATTATCCAGTTCTTAGCGTTTAAGGAGTAGTTGGAAAATCGGCGTTCTGAAAGAGACGACCAAAGCAGCTACGAGTTTTTGAGAGTTTGGGTTGATAAAAATGACCATATCCTTGACACGCAACACACACACCTGCTCTCCATTGTGTAATAGGATTCCGACCATTTTGATGACAGTCAGTCAGTTGCTGGCCTAGGGTGTACTCAAAGCGGCAAAATCCGTAGCAAATCCAAAGCGAACAAAATTGATAGTTGTGCCTTCTGGGCCCATTAAAAGCTTTAACGCTCGAAGGCCAAAGTGGGCGCGAAACGGCAAAGCTAGCTTTAATTTTGCGCCAGAATTACGTGGGAGGCTTGCCAAATATGTTTTTCTAGCTTCTAGCAAACCATTTGGCTTCCGATAGATGCGAAAACGTTCCCGCCTACTCACCCCTATTTCCAGGTATTCGTGTGGGTGACACCATCGGCCTAGGTTACATCGGCAATCAGGATTCGCGCGCGCTGCCCGCTGGTGTCGACCCTGATGTCTATGCGAGGGTACGATAAGGGCGGTTATCCGGGGGTTAGCTTCTACTAGAGTGTTGGCGGTATTTATTAAACGTATTGGAGGATATTAGCAGAGCAAAAACCAGTTCTTTCTCGCTCTCTCTCGCTCTCTCTCTCTATTTCACTCTCATCTATCTCTTTCTCTCTCCCTTTAGGAACTTGCTATACTTATCCTTTTTGCAGACAAATGGGTGACAAGCTCTCTTTGTGAGGCCGTCTGATACCAAAAATACATATTTACTAATTTCTCGTATACCGTAAGCTATTAATTTTTAAGGTATACCACCGCGAAGTGATAACTGATGAGAATGGTGTAAGCTATGACGTGACACCGTATATGACCCAGGTGAGCCCCTTAAAATCTTCAAAAAGGTTTCAGGTTCTTTGGAATCGGTGGAAGAGCTATTGGAAGGGTTAACCGGCATTAATATCGATGGAGAAAATTTTAGAAGTTATCATCTATATTCCAAAGCCATATTCGGGTAATAAACGTGTTGCTTTACAAGACAGAAGCAGACCCGACTTTTTCGATTTCGATTTCGACTAGCTTTGTGACTTTTTACCTTGATTTTTCAATGTTAGCGTCCTGAAAAATATCCAACAAAATGAAGATTTATTGTATCATCAACCTATATTTTAAAAAGCCATCCTGTAAGCTGAATCAAATTCTAAACAGCGTGTGACCTATGCTTTGTAACCCTATAAAAATACTGGATCTGGAAGTCATAGGTAATTTACATAATGCCACATGTGCTCAGCCATATTTTTTTTATGAAATAACCGGGCGCCGTGTATTTCCTGGGCCCCCACATCACCTCATCTCCCACCACTCGGCCGTCCGTGTACAGGTGCGGAAGGGAGCTGTCACCCGCCGCGTCCACCCCACGAATCATCCACATCCCCCGGCCCCCGGTATCGTGCTTCACGCCTCCCCGGTGGCCATTGATTGCGTAACTGGACTTGTTTATTTTTGTTATTTTTTTAGCCAGTAACGTTACTCATTTTTATTACTTTTATTTGATACTAAAAGCTAATTTCCTACATGTTATTTGATCTCCTTTTTTATGTTAGCGGATTTCAATATTTTTAGGCTGGTACCTTCGCTCATTTTGCACGATAGTCACGATAGTTTACAGCCTAAACAGTTCATTTAACGGACGTATACTACAAAAAGTCGCTAATAACTTTAAATTGGCTTTAAAGGACCGATGAAGTCGAAGCATCGACCCCTTCCTTTTACCAGGTCTCGACAGCTACACATCGCATCAAAATACGCTACAAACCACTGCATAACCGCTTGGAAACTTGACCTCTTTTAACACCCGAATGTGCTTTCCAAAGTGTTTTGTAGTGCTACATGGTTGTCGAGGCGCAAACGCAAAAAGACGCAAAAAGACAGTTTTCTGATCCACAAAACACCAGTTCCCCTTGCGCCAGACGGTGCTCTTCAGAAGCCACAAAGACGTGCCGAATTCCCGCTACTTGAGCACATCGTCACTTCTGAGGCGTGAGCCGTCTCTCTCTCCATTTTTTCTCTAGTCTGCCCTTCCTTGTTCATCCCAAATAGCCCCTTCACACCGGGCAAATCGACAAGCTTTTTGAGTGAGTGCGGCGACAATCATCTTCTCGGGGGCTCCCCATCGTCCATCCTTCGGTCATTCGTCTGGTTGTGTGTAGCTTCGTCTATCTGTCTGTATGTCTGCCTATCTGTCTGTTTGTGTATGTTTATGGTTGTTCGCCCCATGGGCGGGTCTCTCGCTCCGGGCCATTGGCCGGGCCCTCAAGGAATCGCTTCCGGTGTATCCATGAAGCGGGGCAGGTGGGGAAATCTTTAGCCTGGTAATTAGAATTACTGAAAACAACGTTTTCCGACACTGCTCTTGGCAAACGGCTAACGTGCTAACCGTAACTTAAAGTAAGTAGCCCTTGAAAAGCCGAAACTCTGTAATCCTTCACCAGGGCGGTATCGGGTTGGTAGTTTGTCAAAGACCAATTGGTGAAGTCGAAGTTGTCGAAATCGATACCTCAAAGCTACGAAGCTTTCACCTAAAGGAACCGAGTAGCGTATGAATAGACCACATTCGACTACTGGGTCTAATTTCTTCGGTATGCTCAAATACGCATTTGGAAGATTTTACGTTTCGCCGATCCGCACGTTCAAATCATGGCTTCTCTCCTAGAGCCTTAAAAACGACGCTGACGAGTTTTGGAGCGTCTCGTAGCTGTTGATACTTGGAAAACGGGGAACAGCAAAAATGACGACAGCAAAAAGCTTCCGAAATCAAGCCAAAAGCCAAAATCCCTTCGCAATTTGATTTTTCCAGCTATTATGGGTGTCGTGACTTTGCCTGTCGTGATTTTGAAGGTCGGCATTTTGGCTGTCGGCATTAGATAATGTACAATGATAACTTGAAATTTTGGTGGCCAATGATGCCTTCCTATTCTTTTGAAAACGTTATCATACAAGCCGCATTTCCCTGAAGTTGTGTAAGGATACCTGATCAACACAGCCTTCCTGATCCCTTTAGAACGACCAGGCGGGTCTAAGAAAAATTAGCATAAAACGGGCTTATCAACGAACACAATTAAACTAAATTAAGTTAGCATAAATTCTCTGATCGCTCTTGCCGCAGCCCAGACCCTGCGCATTTTTTGCATTAGCATTTCCGGTTGGCGCGTTGCCAATTGTATGTAGGTAGATGAGCCTTGATCTACCTGGACTTTCCTGGTCCCCATAGAATGCGCCGAAAAGGATTTCGAGATGCCAAAGCGTTACCATTAATGCATGTACATTGCAACAAGCACGCACACGCCTTGCAACACTTCGGAGACGCGTATCGCCGCCTAGGAGCCCCCTTGTTAATCCCGAAGGTGTTGCCATTTTTTGTGGGTTCCATGTCCAACCAGGGGGGTGGACCCCCGAAGGGCCCACAGGCCGAATGTGTCCCTCAGCAGAAGCCTGCCCCCCACCTCTCGAACAAGCCCCCCGAAACAAAAAGGGCTGTGCTCTACAAGCAGCGCCCTGGAGAATTCCCTCCAGGACCCATCCCCCACCCCCCCCTTCCGGGCCCTCCAAACGGGACACACCGGGCGGACAACATTTGGCCCTCTACACTTGGCTCCTGTTAACGATCACTCCACGCCCGGGAGGGATTTATTTAGCGCCTTCATGGCCCCTTTAAGGCAGGATTAAGGTATAAGCGTTTGATACAGGATTTGGTGTCATTATTGCTTGTTCCATTGCTCGTATCAAATTTTTTTCACCTCATTTAAGGAATTTCTCGTTCTAGACTATCGGAGGGCATTTTATCACATTCAAATCCGGTTTTTCGGGATTACCATTACTTTTTTGGTTAAACGGGAGCGTTGTATACGTCATTTCTACGTCTTTTGCGTATTCCAGCGCTCAAAGAACCCAAAAAAGTAGCCAAAAATAGAGAAAATCGTCCGTAATTCTGTACTATTTTGGACGTTTTTCAAATTAGCATGAGTTTCATATCTCATCACGCTCTACGTTTGAAAAAATTGCGGTTTAACGGAAGATGCCCTTTTAAAAATATTAACATCACTCGCGCTTTTTTCCTGATCAATTTTCGATTATCCCAGTGCTTTTGATTTTCTAAAAATTTTTCGTTGCGCTCACGTACCAGACCAACCCCTTCAGGACCCACTTCTTGGACGCACCCCCGAATTTTGCTGATCTACACGCAGAAGCCAGCGCGCTCTCGCACACTTCCAGAGGCCATGAGGGAGCGCCGGCTTTTATGGGCCCTCGTCGTCTGCACGATTATTGCGTCGGCATTTTGTGAAGAGGTGGGTCGAATTGCTTGCCACGTGTTTTTGTGGTTATTAAGTGACTTATGTTTGTGCCGATGTTTTGAGGAAAAATCGCCAAAATTTATAAAACCTTTTTCGAATTTTCGCGAACCGCCATTAGGTGCAAAATTTCCAAATTTCGAACCTCCCGCGCACCCAAGCACATGCCTATTTTTGGGCCTAGTTTTTTATGGCCCGAGGTGGATTTGACCCCCGGATCGGGCGCAAATATAGGCATCCATGCGCAGCGCGAGCATCCCCCTTCGAATTCAGGGGTATCGCGTTACCTGTGGGCTACTCCGTGGATGCGTCGTACTTTTTTCGGTAGGACGAGCTATGAAAATGTTCTATTTGTATACGATGCGTAGGGTCGGGCAGGTGGGAAAAAGTAATGCGAAGTCGCGAGGACCAGGCGGGGAATTCTAAATTCAGAACGCGAAAGTTTGATCAAATTTTGGCTGTAGCGACGGAAAGACAGGGCGAGAGAGAATGTGAGAGAGAGAGTGAGAGAGTGAAAGAAAGAGGGAGAGAGATAGGTAGAGAAACGGCTAAAACCTATCTCGAGTCAGCCAAAAAAACTCACCAACTTCATAAGTTTATTTTTGAACACCGCGTTCCAATTCGGACCCACCCACTCTTCCCTAGAAACCGTGTCCAAATATTTCTGTCTCTCCCTGCCCTTTTTTCGAGTCAGGAAACCAAGAAAAAGCTGAAAAGACATGGTGTGAATCGCCAGCCTCGCGAGCGCAAGCACTGTTTGCGCCGGCTATCGGAAGCGAGTCGGCCTGTATCGCGTTCTCTCTCTCGCGCACTCTCTCGCTCTCTCTAACACCGACCTCAAGCTTTTTCTCTCCAGCAATGACTCCCCGCTCCCTTGTTCCAATACAAGAAAACAGGGGGCCCCTAACAGTAGTCACCGGGTGACAAAAGCGGCACAAATTGACGCGCGCTAAACGGTGACCCCGCGCAGGCCTCTGCAGTGCTAAACACGTCTGGGCCGAGACGAGCTCCAGATTAGCCGCCCCTGAGGCCTGAAGGGTCCAAATTGTCACATAGGAGGACGCTTTTGGGTGATGTGTCAAAGAGCGGTAACTTTCGGCCATAGGTGCGAAATTTTCACGTTTGGTTCCGCAGCATACATTTAGAGTAGCGGGGCGGAGCGTGACTAGTGTGCCGGAAGCTCTATTAGTTTAATTTTTAGGCTGAATTCGCGAATACCTGAGCTACCGTATCGTAACCAAGCGTAAGTATAGGATGTCCCAATAAAAAACTCGCCTACTAACTCGACGCAGCAGTATCGAGCCGGAACGATAGTTACGCCATTCCAAAGCCCTTGAGAAGGCGCGTTTTCAACATCTACAACCATTTTTTATTTAAGCTCGCCGTTTTACAAGCCATTTAGCAAAATTTTTCCGTTTTTTGGGGTTGCATAGGAACTGATTTTCTTAAAATTCTTTAAAAATTACCACAAGTTGTCCTTCAGTAGATACAAACGTCTTTCCCATGTTTTTAAATTAGTTTTAAAATAACCGGTTTCAATAAAACATGGTTTTATAATTTGTTGCAAACGTTTTCGAATGGTGTATCTATCGTTCCGCTCCGATACTTCCGCCAGAGCTAGAGGGCATTTTGTTTATTGGGAAACCCTATACAAGTAGCAAATATCAATTTTGCCATAGCTCTGCTGCCGTGTGAACACGAAACGCTTGCTCCAGCTGCTGCTCAAGCCTTTTTCTTGATCATCAGGTTGAGCTTATTGTTGGAAAGCTGTCATTTTGGTCCGGCGAGATCCTTGTTGCGCAATTCCAATCCTAACAGCAACTTCGCACAAGCCACGGCAACACAATCCCCTGCCACAAGTGCTCTTCAAAATACACCTTCGACGGGGGTGCCGGAAACGGCGGCGAGGTGTCCTTGTCGGTGTTGCTTGCCCAGGCAATCGCGAGGGGCGCGGATTAGCGGGTGTCGTGTGCGTGTGTGTGTATGTTTCTGGGGGCCCCCTCTCGTCGAACAATCACTTCTGGCCCCTAGACCCGGGGACACAGTCTGGCCAACCAAAAGCTTTCCCCCACAAAAAAAAACAATGGCCGGCGCCGATCACTTCCCCATTCTTGTCCGTTTTTGGTGGGGACTTGCAGTTTTTTACAAAACGAGAATGTTGGGGTCGAAGGATGCGCACCGGGCTGAAAAATTCGTGAAGCTTTTAGATTGACCGGAATCTGAAAACATTGCGGTTGAAAATTTTGGAAGATTTTCAAGAAAGCACGAGCAAAAATACGTTAATTTTGGCTTTTCCAGGAAGTCGATCGACCCAAGCGACAAGGCTGCGGCTGCACGTCATTCTGCAACTGCCAACCCTCGTTCACGAGCAGTTTTTCCGCAAATTTCCGGATTCCAATCTACCGGCCGCAATGTAGTTGCCAGCAGCAGCCTCAATGCAGTAACCAGTGCAGCTACACGCAAATGGTAAGCGTTAAGGAGCTAAGAGGTCAGGAAGGTATCTTGAAACGAACCAGTGTTTCTGTCAAAAATATTCGACCCGCCAAAAAATGCGTGCATCATTTTGATAGACGCAGGCTGCTTACCTTTACGCATCGTTCCACCCTCGTTTCAGCGCGTGTTTTAGCATAAAATTAGCTATCGATCAAAAATTACTGAATGCAGGAGTTTTAATTTTTCGAGTGCTCTGATAATGCTATCAAACCAGATCATTAATCACGTTTCAGAACCGGGACTGCTCGTCGACGTGCCAGAAGGCGTGCGTCCCCGCGTGCAACAAGTTTTCGACGACGCCAGGAATCTGCTCAATGCAGTGCAACAACATTTGCTCAGGTAAATTTTCTTCCCGATGCAAGGCAATAAACATTTCGAAAGGTTAAAAACCTACTTTACTTTTAGGAACCTGCTCTTCTGCTCGTCAAACTGCCGCCACTCAGCCGCCAATCCAATTTATGCCAAACCCACAGGCACAGCAGGTGTCCGCAAACCCTGGCTGCCAATCGGCGTGCCAGAATAAGTGCCAGGTTCGTAGTCTTAAGGTATCGTCATGCTAAGATCTTTTAGACGGCTTGCGAATCAAAGGTGTCTTCCTCGATCCAGCCCTCAATCTGCACCCAGACATGCTCCAACGCTTGCCAGTTCTCTTGCTCGCAAACCGCAATGACGGCGACGATGGCTCCAGCCGTCACGACGACTTCGACAACACCGCAACCGGTTATCCAGGTTTGGCTTGATGCCAAAAACAACCACTGCTATCTGCTTCCAGATAGCTCTCGACATCCGCGACCCATACTACGGCACCAACTGCCAGGAGCGCTGTGATCAGAACTGCCTCTCAATGTGTGTCTCCATGGGAAATCGTGGAGCGGATTGTCAACCGGCTTGCGCTACTACCTGTCAGGACTCGTGTACGACAAGGTAGTTTTCTCGATATCGCAACTGTAATCATGATTTTCTAGAACCGCCACGGCGAGCAACCCTCAAGTAAGTTCAAGATTTTTTGCATAAGCCTCGATGTCGTTTGTCGATGTTTTGTGGTCCATCTTTCGGCTTAATGTTTATGGCTTTCGAAAAACTGTCGTATAAGCTTTGTTTGCTTTCGGAAGTGTTTCAAAAAGGGCTTTGCTATTTTTCTTGTTGTCTGAGTCTGAGATTTTTGGCCTTGGGACCTTCAGCTTTGTATGCTATGATTTTTGCCGCTTCCGACAATGACGCTCAAATTTTTTCAAAAGTAATGCTAGCTTTAAACGCTTGTAAACAACGCAATACTACGCTAAAGCTCAAGCGCGCGGTTTTTGAAAAGTGATGTTACTAGCTTGCAACGCTTGAAAACAGCCAAATACTACGCTAAAACTCGAGCCCGCGCCCGCTTTTACAAAGCTGCATCTGCCAAGTTAACTTTGCTTGCTTGCATCGCTCTGTCGCTTGCAGGCCACCCAACCCCGCCCAGCTACGCCACAGGCCAATCAACAGGCTGTGTCACGCAATGCGCCAAGGGTTGCGAGGCCGGCTGCCCGCCCGACGACGTGCATGTGTGCAGCCCATCGTGCGCGGCGGCTTGCGAGCAGCAGTGTTACAAAGTTGCCCTCGGCCTTATCGACGAGAAGCCGAAAACTACGGTAATGGAGGTGCGCATCCCGGCCGCTGCCCAGTGCATCCCCGCCTGCATGCCGGCCTGTGAGCCCGCTTGTGTCGACCCGGCTTGTCCCTCGGAATGCCGCCCGGCATGCGATCAGAAATGTGTGCAGCAGCCGCAGCAGCCCCAGCTGGTGATACAGGTGTGATGCTAGCATGAATTTTTGGTTTTTGCCTTGGTTACGCCGCATTTGCAGTCATCAGAAAAGTGGAAAATGCTTTCGGAATCTTTGTAGGGCTGGGCTGAGCTCGATATGTGGTGGTTTTCCAAGATGCACGCCAAGTTTTCGACTTTTTTTGGTTTCCGGCATGAATATCTGGTTTTCTGAGTTTCGCGCATTGAACTATGCCATAGCCAGCTTTTTTAGTGTAAGAAAACCGAAAATAGAATAGACTAGATATGATAAATGTGCTCTTGATGGTAGTACAAGGCGTCCCAAAAACCCCTACCTGGCGGTCGGTAGAGGGGTCCGATTTTTACGGTCTAGCTCTCGACGAAAGCTCACGACGCGTTGAGAAGATTTGCTCTTTCTAACTTTCGAAATTCCGGATTTTTTCGGCAATTTTTTTCGGCCTTTTCGAGGCCCAAGTTACACGTTTTTATCGAGAAAAAATTATATTCAATCGGCTTAGGCGTCATCCGTGCTGTGTTTTCTCAAGTCGACTAGTGAAAATTAGTGAATATTCATAAATTGCGATTTTGTAAGAAGATCCTTTCATCGGAGAAGGAACCGAAATTCGGTCGATTTCCAAAAATATGTGTAATTGTAAGAAAAATTCTGGAATTTGGAAAAATCGAAAAGAACGTATCTTCTCAGCTCGTCGAGAGCTTACGATTGATACCTAAATCGTCAAAATAGAACACATCTGGGGTCCGCTAGGTAGGGGATTTTTTGGGGCACCGTGTAGTTCAAGTTGCTGCTTGCAGTGGTGTGCGCTTTAGTTTCAAGGCTTCATGCCTGCTAGTGCGGCCCTTTTGGTTCCATCATAATTTTTTTGTTGAAATGAAATCCCAAAAACGGCTTGAACGCTTCATTTTCAGGTCCAAGCCCCGCCGGTCCAGCAGCAACCGCAGCAAAACTGCCCCTCGTCATGCCAGCCGGCTTGCGAGCCCGTCTGCGTCCAAGCCGCTTACCAAGCCCCCGCTCCAACCCTCCTTCCGGCTCAAAACTGTCCGACTCAGTGCCAGCCGGCTTGCCAACCTACCTGCATCCAACAGGTCACCACCACCACGACCCAAGCAGCCCCGCAATGCATCCAAGTGTGCCAGCCGGCCTGTGAGCCAACCTGCGTCCAGAAGTACACCATCAGCGTGGTGCAGCCACAGGCCCAGTGTCCCGCGCAATGTCAGCCGGCCTGTGAGCAACAGTGCGTCCAACGGATTCAAAGCTGCCCGACCCAATGTCAACCAGCTTGTGAGCAACAGTGCGTCCAACAGGTCCAAACGCCGGTCTACCTCACTGCCGCCCAACCGCAGGCCCAGCAACAGGCTTGCCCCGCTCCGTGTCAACCTGCTTGCGAGCAGCAGTGCATCCAGTCGCAGCAGCCAGTCACGGTGCAGGTGATTGCCCCCGCCCAATCGAAGGTGCAGGTCACGTCGGCGACCGTTGCCTCAACGGCCTCTACTAGCTGCCCTCAACAATGTCAACCGGCTTGCGAGCAGCAATGCGTCCAGGGTGTTCAGGTGCGCTTTGCTTTCCTTAATGCTTATTTTAATACAAAAAAAAGTTTCAAACGCAAAAGTGCTTCTAGCTGAATTAAAACGCTCAGGATTTTTGGAACTTCTACTTCATTCAAAGAGTAATCCATTCATTTGATCGACAAAAGATACTTTTAATTGCGTGATTAACTGGCTAATCTTAACAATATAATTTGGTCTAAAGTTTTAGTGGGAACCTTAGTTCGTCTTTAATTTTATTTTGCTAAAGTTTCAAACTTTGGTTTTTGTTTATATGAGTGGTTTTTCTGCTACGTTTTCAAAAACCAGCTTTTTATATAAATAGTTAAAACTAATCCACTACCATCTTAGGTATCAGCGAGCCCTGCAGCAGCTAACCCGGCTAATCCCCAGCTAACCGAGCCCGTCGCCGACGACCCAAACGCTTCTCCTCAGTTGCCACCTAATCCAACAGAGCTTACTACTGAAAATCCGGCTTTAACTACTAATATTCCTTTAAATCCCGTACCTACTCTACCACCCGCGCCACCGCTACCCTCTACAGAGTCTTCTGCACCTCCGCTTAATCCGGAAGGTCCGGTTTTAGCTGCCGGAATCGGGGATCCAAATAGCCTCGCAGAAGCTCCTGAAATCCAAGGCCAAGCTCAAGAATCTGCTGCTACACACATTTTTGAAGCAGGCCCAATTTTCATGAGCCCCGCCCTCGATGGTCCGGAAAATTTACAAACTACAGCAGCCCCAAAAATCGGCCAAAACCTCATGCTCAACTCCGAGACGGTACAAGTTGCAAAGTACGAGGCGGTCACGGAAACTGCCACTCAGAACCCGCTTTTCACGGCCACATTTACCAAGCCATATCAAGATTTGGTGGCGAGTCTGACGAAGAAGCTGAGACTGCTTTTTCATCCGCCACCGGCTAACCCGAACGCGAAGATCGTTTTTAAGACGACCACCGTGGGCCCGAGCTCCGTCATTCGACTGCCGGCCGATCAGGAGATTCCGGAGGATTCGATGGATTTGTTTAATGACGATGGGGCTCCCAACTATTCTGAAAATTCGACAGTTTTGGAAGTGACGACGCCTGCTTCGGCAAATGCCACCGGAAATGCTACCCTAAACCCTACCAATCTCTCTCCAGTTTCAACAGTAGCGGATAACATTACTCTACTTAATTCAATTACATTAGTGCCTGAAGTCTCGACTTCAAACCCGAAAAGTCTTGAGCTCTCGATATCGAACGCTACGGTGTCGAGTACAGGAAATTCCGCCCCTTCTACGCCGCCCATTAGCGGTTCCTCGATGACGAATCATACTCAGGTCAAGGACCTTGCAACCTCCGCACCACTTGCTGGAGTTCTAGAAGCCGCTGCCGCGCTTGAAACGACGGCAGCTACCCCGCAAGCTATTCCTCTAGGTGGTGCGCTAATAACTCCCGGTCCTACACTACCAGAAAACTCGACGCTACCACCTACACCCGAAGAAACTACAGAAAAACAGCTTTTCACAACGACCACCCCAATTCCATCTACAGCCCGAACCCGCCCGTGGCCCATCATCTTTGCCTACGTGCCGAGCATTCAACCTGAAAACCGCCCGAACACCCTCAGCCAGCTCCAAACTAGCCTGGCTAATGGATTGAACATGATGCAGCATCCAGAATCTAGTATTCTACGACCCCCGGGCCTCCTCCCAGCACCGACTAAAATTCTGAAACCCCCAGCTCCCCTGGCTACAAGCACCCCCTTCAGTTTCTGGGACTACCTCCAGAAGGCCAGACCCGGCCTTCAACTCAGCCAGTTGAGCCAGCAGAGCCCCAACTCCGCGGTCCTAGTCTCTAGCCCTAGCCAATCTGCTGTGAATCTACCGCTTAACGACCAGGTGCTGCCGCCAAAACACCTAATCAACAGCAATAACCCACCGGCTTCACTAGCTCCACTAGCACCGCTTATGCAGGTAGACGGGTTTTGTTGCTTTTGCGATTGGTTCCTGATTTCTAAAAGTTTAACCTTTAGCTTCAGCTTTTCCTAAAAACTTTGAGTTTGATATCAAATTTTCTGTTTTTGTATGACAAGTTCAAGCAGTCCTAAAGCTTCCTTGATCCTGGAACTGTCAAAACCTCAAGTAATGCGGTTTTTAGACCCAAACGAACGGCGCGAACCAGACGCCGGGGGCCCTCCCGCCCACGGTGCACTCGATCTCGATCGGGGTATCAAACCAGCAGCTGCAATGCGCGCAGCCCTGCCTCCCCACCTGTACCCCGGATTGCCTCATCGGGCTCCAGACGGCGCAACAAAACTCTGTGCAGCAACAGGCTACCGCTGCAACGACCTGCCCGTGTTTGGATACTTGCGAGAAGGGATGTATGCAAACGCAGGTAGGCCCGGCAGTGCTTTTGCGTCTCTCTCTCTCTCTCTCTCTCTCTCTCTCTCTGGCCCTATCTCTCTTTCTCTCTGTCTTTCAAAGACAAAATACAATTTCAGTCCAACCAAGAACAATGCCACACGCTGTGCGTTGAAGTATGCGCCGAGGAGTGCGGAAAAATCACCATCTCCATCCCGACCCAAACTCAGGCGCCTTCAGGTACCCAAACTTACCTATTGACTTTATCAAGCTTTTTAGGAGTGGCCAACAACCAGATCCAAAGCCCCGACTTCCAATCGCCACAATGCATGCCCGCGTGCGAGTACTCGTGCAACATGCAGTGCGTCGAGAGGTTACCGCAGGACCATTGCGGAAATATTTGCCGGTAGGTATTTGCAGACTAGAACCTGGCAACACACCTATTCCTAAGCGTAACCCTAAGCCTAACCCTAAGTCGAAGCCTAAGCCTAAGTCTAAACCTAAGCATCCAAACGCCAGAGCGTACACGTTGTCTATCGGCTTCTAACTTCTCGAAATTTAGTGGTCAGTGCACAGTTGCCTGTGGTTCCGGAATGCAACAACAACAGCCACAACAGGCCGTAAGTATTTTCTGAGAGCTTTGGTGGAAGCCCGGAAAGCCGGAAAGACGGGAAAACCACTCTCGTGAGTAAAACTTCGTCAAGTTCGGCCCTAATAGGAATTGGAGCTTCCGCGTGCTAAAAGTGGGGTGTAATTGTAAGTTGCAGTCCGAAAGATCAGTAATATCAGGATCTAATCTCAAATACCTAGGCTCAACCCACCTACCTCCAGCCGTCCCAACAACAGGTTATGGCCCAGGTACAGTTTAGGCGTAACGGGTCTGCGATCCCGTTTACACGCTTCTAGCTTTCCTCTCCTTCCCCTGTCCTCTGAACGTGTCAGGTGTAGTTTTGTGGAATGGTTTGAGACACTCGCGGGACCGTCGAAGTCATTGCCTGACAACTCACCCACCTCTCGCATGTCCCACTCATTCAGGTTTCCATCGAACTCGGTGCATGCCTGCAAGTCTGCCAGCCGTCTTGCCTAATCAACTGTGTTAACGGGGATCGGGATCTGAGAGGGACCTGCGCGCCCGCATGTCGCGGTGTCTGCGAGCAGTCCTGCTCCAACACCGTACTCCAACCGCTGATGGAGCTTTCCGGAAGTGTCACGTCGCACCCAGCCACCCCATCGAGTGCCGCGCCCGTGTTTTCACGAATTCAGCCCACCGAGTTGGCGCGTGAAACTTTGCATGATCGGCATGAGAATCAGCATGTGTTGTTTGAGGTGAGATCAAAGCGTTCGGGTTCGGCGCCTCTGGTAGGAGGTATCTACTTAGATGCATGATTTAAATTGCGTAATTGTATGTCATTTTATGGGGTTTTTGCACCCAGCACATGTTGTGCAGAATTTCTTTGCTGGTTCCGAATCCGTTTTCAAAACTTCCAGAATTTCTTTGTCTAAAAAGTTACAAAGGCTTTCGCGCTGGAAATGATGAAGATTTCAGACTTTAAATACTTTTAAAAATAGTGATAGGTAGAATCCGCTGTAATTTTGAAATCAGAAGCGTTCCGTATCCTTTAAAAACGGATTCGGAATCAGCGTAAAATTCCGCACAAGCTGTGCCACCTTACGTATCGAAATTCACCAAAAACGGCTAGAGTTAATGCGATTTGGTTTGAAAGAAATCCAGTTTTATGAATCTTTTTTGACGCGGCCGCAACTTATCGAAGATTACATTTGATCTAGCGAAAATTTGACTCTCCGCAGCGCGACCATTGAAAACCGCCAAGGAGATAGTTGCGTCCAGACTAAAAAGTTGAAAAAGTAAACTAGAGCCTATTGTAGAGCGTTGCATGAATTATATTGCATTGTGGCTTGCCGTTACAACCAATACATCCAAAAGACTTCGCCACAGTTCACCCTTCCTTTTTAAGCACTTCTTTAGGCCGGCGCATCCCAGGAGTGCGCACCTAAATGCCAGGCTGACTGCGAGAACCTATGTCCAACCGTTACTCCGCAGTGCCAGACTGGTTGGTGATTTCGGAGTCTTCTTTATCCTGGTTCCAGGTTGCCAAAATTCGTGCGCACAACTTTGTGGAAAGGCTCCGACCCCGGTTGCTGCTTTAGTCACGGCGACGGTCTCGTACAACTGCCAAGTGCCGTGTGACGTGCAGTGCACGCAGAACTGCGCTGGGCAAGGTGCGCTTCGTCTAAATTTAAAGGCTCTTGGTTTGTGGTACAACGATAACATGGAATTCTAGAACCCGCCTGCGCCACGTCGTGTGCTGGACAATGCGAAGCTGCCTGTCCAACTGTAACCTGCGAAGACGCATGTGAGACGGTGTGCCAGGGACAGGTAAGATAGAGCTAGCGAGAGAGAGACAGAGAGAACCAGAGAGAGCGAGAGAGCGAGAGAGATAGAGAGAAAGAGAGAGAGTGAGAGAGACAGGGAGAGAGAAAGGAGAGAGAGAGAGAGAGAGAGAGAGAGAGAGAGAGAGGGAGAGAGAGTGAGAGAGACAGGGAGAGAGAAAGAAAGAGAGAGAGAGAGACCAGAATTATAACCACCCTTTTACAGTGTACCTTCTCCGGCCAGGACAGTCGAGCCTGCGGGCCGGCCTGCAAGCAGTCGTGCCGAGCGTTGTGCTCCAAGCGAAGGGTGAAGCGAGACGAAATTAAACCCTAGAAACGGTAGGTATTGTTTTTTGTTTTCAGACGATCGAATATGTTTAGAAAACTCCCGCCCCTGCACCAGATCGCGACAATCTAAACCAAAAGATTTTATTATTTATTTAAACCCATTTTTCATATTTATTTTCGAGTCTTTCGATCAGATTCCATACGTGTACCCGCAACAACTCTTTCACAAAGTTCTACGTGCTTGCGTGTTTTTCGATTTTCTACCGTAACCCCTAGTCACAGTTCTTGCGAAAGGAATTTTGTGGAATTTGTAGTCTGTAGTCTATGGCGTGGAAAATTAGAGACTACGAACTTCACAGAATTCCCTTGCCTATGCTCTTCCTGAAATACTTTGTGATCACTTGGGTGATAGAAGCTTCATTTGTTCTTGCTCAATCACGTTTTTGAAAAAAATTACCTGTGAATTTGACTAGTCAAAACATTAAGTTATACTTGAAAGCCAGTGATAAACGATTGATATAACGAATTAAGGCACAATCTTTACAAAGTTATAAAAAAGACTACACAACCACAAACTACAAAAAAGAAAAATTAGAATAGCTCCACAACGGTAAGGAAAAATACGATAATTTCTAACCAGGGGCTCGCAGCAGCTAAAAAAGAGCAAGCCAGCCGAGATCTTTGGGGAAAACGATTTCAACACTAAAATTTGCATAAAAATTTGAATATTACGTCCCAAAAACCATATTTTCACAAAAATCAATGATTTTCTACGCACTTCATAATCTATATGGTGGGCCGATTCCTCGGTTTTCCATCATTTTCCGTTTAGATACTGTTTTCGTCAATCTACTCAACATTTTTCGCCTGTTTCTGGTACTTAAGCGGGGCCCTTTATGTTGTCATCATTTGTAAACATGTAAGTTGATTTGAAAACGCTGAACAACATTAAAATGCTTTTTTCTAGACGCGCGAAGTCGAGAACCAGCCGGCAGTCGGGGCGTCATCAGCCGAAAGTTTGAGCAAGCCGACGCCGCCGCCAGCCTCGGAGCCTCAGGTATCTCTCTCGCTCGCTCTCTCGCTCGCTCGCTCTCTCTCTCTCTCTCTCTCTCTCTCTCTCTCTGGCTAATCTCGATTTTCAGAGCCCAAAAGACAAAGATGCCCTGAACCAGAACACATACTACGGCATCAACAGCGCCGTCCTGTTCCCCGACCAACAAAGTACGGCAGTTTTGTTGTTTTTAAAGGGCTGTCTAGACCTAGTCGAAACGGAGTCGATTTTTGCGGCTTCTAGGTCCCTAAAAATTCCTTTTTTTCATTTCCAGATCGAACCAAGGCGCCCGACATCCCGGCGGCCTAGACTCGATGAACATCTACCCATTTTTTGTCGCAATAAATATTTTGATTTTTGCTTTGTACAGTACTTTGTATATTTTGAGTGAATATTTCACAATTTGCGTACCAGCGCGAATTTGAAGGCCGCTGAGTCATTGGCGGATTGGCCATGCCGGGCCTCGGCATCACCCCCCAAAAGTTGTGGGCATAATCCATCAGGTCAACACTTACTCATCCCGCCCAAGTCCGAGTCGACAGAGAGAGAGAGAGAGAGAGAGAGAGAGAGAGAGAGAGAAAGAGAGAGCCGCGTACAAATACAAATAATCGGAGAGCCGTGGTCCGAATTCGCCAAGAATCTCAGCGGGATGTTTATCAGACCCAAATCGTGGCACGACTCTTACATTTCATCGGAATCTTTTCTTGTCTTCAAATTATGATTTTAGGTTTTATCGGGTTGTCTCTGGTAGCTTTCCAATGCTTCTTTCTCATTAGCATCTCGGAAAGCTACCGGAAAGATTTGTGCTTGTAAGATGCTTTCTTTCTTGCTTGTAAGGGTAGAGGAAGAAGTTGATTAGAACTGCCCCGCGACACGCAACGCGCGCGCAGCTCACTTCCGGTGTAGCGGTCGTGCCGATTATGCAAAGGCAAAGCGGCGCCTGTCGCTGCGTGTTGCGGTGATGCTCAAATTGAGGTCCAGCGCCAAAAACCATACATATTAACTCTATGCCTGTTATAGCACTGTGTATTCGCTTTTATAACTTCTCATTTCAAGGCATATTACGAGGGTTCTAGATGCATTCCCTGACCCTCCTCGCCTTGGCCGCCGTTTTTGGAGCCACCGTAGCCAACCTTCAGTGCTATTCGGATTATAACGCGAACGGCTTCCAGCATACGAGCAGCGTAAGTTCGTTTTCTTCATCTCTTCTCAAAAATTTGATGGTTTTGACGTTTTCCCGACCATCTAGTCAAAATTCTTTGAAAATCGAAACCCAAAATACAAATTTCAGAAAACGAAGCAAACCTGCGGAGATGGATGCAAGTTCTGTAAGAAGACGTACAGTCAGGTGGGCAGGCTTTTCATATCTTTAAATTGACATTTTCAGCTAGGAGGAATTAATGCGGCTGAATGGGGGTGTGGCTGTGATGCCACCGGGCAGTCGTTCGAGATTTGTACGGTAAGTGGCGAAGGGCTTAAAATACGGCTGTTCGCTCTCTGTCTCTCTCGCTCTCTCTCTCTCTCTCTCTCTCTCTCTCTGTCGTTCGCTATTCTTTTAAAAGAAATTTTTGCCGTTTCAGGAAAAAGGCAAATTCGACCGTTCTCCCAACAACAACAACCAGGTCGAGCTGAACTGCTGCACCGGAAATTTGTGCAACGTCGCCGAGCGTAGCTCTCTATTTACCGTACTCACCACCGTATGCTCGGCGTTGGCTGTCGCGTTGATGAAATAAAATGTTTTGCTTGAAAGTGGCACAAAGCGACACGCGAGCAGAGAGCATTTGGGAATGGAAGGGGCAGGCTAGCAGAGATCATTGGGGAATGGAAGGGGCAGGCTAGCAGAGATCATTTGGGAATGGAAGGGGCAGGCTAGCAGAGATCATTTGGGAATGGAAGGGGCAGGCTAGCAGAGATCATTTGGGAATGGAAGGGGCAGGCTAGCAGAGATCATTTGGGAATGGAAGGGGCAGGCTAGCAGAGATCATTTGGAATGAAAGGGGCAGGCTAGCAGAGATCATTTGCGGTTTGGATTTCCTTAGTGATGGCTACATCGGTTTGTTCCAACGCGGCGAACTGGTTCCCGAGATAGCTCCACGGAATCGACTACTTTCACTTTGATTAGAAGCCGAGTATAGGGGATGACTGGTTCCGCCGCGATCCTCAGTGCACCCAGGAAAGGCACACGAAAGTTGCCAGTCGCCTTCACTGTGCCATATGGATCGAAAGCTGCTATTGCTAGCTGTACTTCTTGGAGTCGTCACCACTTATCATCGTAAGTTCAGAAAACCTAAAAGTAGACTTGAATAGACCAGAAAGCTAACAAGGAGTGCCTTTTGGGAGTCATCGGCAAATTCCTTCGAGACCTAGCTCATTCGATAGAGAATTCGATTCTGAACCAAACCCCGTTGTTCTTTTTTGCAGAATGGCTATCCCTGATTTTATAAAATTAAAATACTAGTGACCGTCTCTTACCATGAGTGCCTTTCGAGCCAAAAGAGAGGCTTTTGGGTGCAGTTTTAAAATTTTATAAAATCAGGGATAGCCATTCTGCAAAAAAGAACAACGGGGTTTTGTTCAGAATCGAATTCTCTATCGAATGAGCTAGGTCTCGTAAGGTTTTGCCGATGACACCCAAAAGGCACTCCTTGTAAGAAACAGCCGTTCCCGCCGACTCCTGTTAGACCCCTCGACGGCTACGTAACACTCCAAAAGACGGGTGCGAGCGCGTATCTGTTGCGCGCAATTTTTGTTCTCCCTTCTGAAACGCTAATCATCTGAAATTGACGCGGAAGCTGAAGTGTAACCTGGCTGTCTAGACCTAGTCCATCCAACCGGTCGATTCCCGCACTTTATGGCGCCTTTAAGGAGCCAAGGAAAAGGTCAACATTTTCAGAATATCGCGAAGTAATCTGTAAAACGAAAGACAACCGAAACCGGGGCGGTCCTGACAAGGCAAAGTGCCTAATTAACATAAAAAACGAGGAGTTGGACCGCGGAAAGGATGGGCCGCTGGGAGCTGGGTGTTTTACGGTAGGTATATCGTTCTTTCTCCCTCTCACTCTCGCGCGCACCCTCTCTCTCTCTCGCTCTCTCTCTCTCTCTCTCTCTCTCTCTCTGCATATATTTCTACTTTGGTTCAGGACAAACCAGGCCGAGGATAACCGAAAGAAATCTGCGACCTCGTCTGCCCGAAAGCACATACCGTCTTCGTGGCCCACATAGACGTCGGACATCGGGGTTGCTTCAACTACTACAACTACGAGTTGGAACAGGTGCCTTCCACGGCCCTTTAAAATGGCTTAATCATTTTTCAGCGAAAGGATGAGTGGTTCTTGATGAGGAGCGGGGATTGCGCTAATTCTACGATCACTTTTAGGTAGGTTCCAGGTTCAGACTGGCCAAGTTTTGCTGTCACTATACCTTTAAATGGCTCGAAAGCGCCAGAATTTTCACCTCTTCCAGCAGCTAGGTATAGACAACTAGTCTAGTCAAATGTCGCGCATATGTTTCCGTTTTTCGCCTGGAAAGTGGCTCAAAAATGAAAATCCCATTCGACCGGGCTTTTGCGAATAGTGCGCGTTTGTCCGCGTAGTTTGGACCATTGCGAAGCTGTCTAGACCTAGTCGAATCAAGGGATCGATTCTCACGCTTTATAGCTCCTTTAAAAGCCATTTTTCCTTTTAGAATCGGGTGCAAATTCGATGATCCTTTCAACGCTACCTTCAAATCCGACAATGAAGTATTTTCACACCATCGCGCACGCTCCAGGGCGAAATTCGCTAAATTCTAAATTTAGGTAATAACTCGTTTAAAAGTATATTTCTTAATGTATGTTCTTATTTATGAAACGGCAATAAACTCACTACAAACTATAGAATCCGAGATACAAAGATAATTAAAAATATGCAGAGCAAAAAACGATCGCTTCTAGGCAATAGTCCTCAAAAAAAAGTGCAATAATTCTCAATCAAACTTACATAAATTGCAGTAAAAAAATCAGAATTATAATACATTTAATGGCGGGGCGAGAAACAGGCGGGAACCCATAAAAACACAGTATGCAAAAAAGGGTTACACAATAGAATTGAGGAGTTCAAGCTCAAAAATGAAAATCTCAAACATTGGAGGGAGTTTTGGCAGTTTAAAAATGGAGAAACAATATAATCAATCTAATTTAATCCTCTTCTTCATTGAACGAGTGCCGCCGCGTCGCTTGAGGGCTGAAATATGCAAATGTAGACGAGATTTCCTTGGAAAGTTAATTGACGGGAACTGACAGCATGGCGTTGCGGAAGCGTTGCATGTCGCTCCCTCTCTCACTCTCTTCTCCCTCGCTCTCTCTGTCTCTCTCACTCACCCGCACTCTCACTCACTCTCTCGCTCTCTCACCCTCTCTCTCTTGCTCTCTCTTGCTCTCTGTCTTTATCTCTATCTCCCTCAATCTCTATGTCTCGCTCTCTCTCTCTTATCTCTATCTCTATCTCTCTATCTCTCTCTCTCTCTCTCTCCTTCTCTCTCGTTCTCCCTCTAACTCTCACGCAACCGCAACGCAGCCGCGACGCCCAGCTGCCAGTTCCCTTTCAAGACCACGATTTTTAAAGGATGTAATTACAGGAGAATGTTGAGGGTTAATCAGAAAATGGAAGGAAAACCGATTTGGAAAGATTTTGAAAATATGCATTAAGGGCGAATTAAAGGGACAGGGAACTTTTGATGGTGCGGACGACATGCCACGGAGAGAGCCACTGTTTTATGCACAATTTTCTCGTCGGCGGGCTCACTTTACCTTTTTTGACAGGGCTCAATTCGCCACCGCTTCAATGTTGCTAAATTTACATAATTTCCTGTGATTGGAAAAAGGGATTTTTCTTTGATTGCCTCGATTAGGTGGGGCAACTTTTCTGTTAGGATTCAAGTTTGCTAGCATAAACAAGGCGAGACTCGCGCTGCAAAGCTATCGATTTTTCCACGAAAATACAAAACTGATCTATTCTTGGACCAAAAATAGCCATTTTACGGCAGAACTTTCAGGTTTCCATGACTTTTTCGAATCCTATTCCATGGTATTTGCACGCAAAAGAAATTCAATTGGCTAAAAATGCGATCAAAACTACGCCACTCTAAATTTCCGAAGAATTTCTGCCCCTTCCCCTGATAACACGAAAGCTCCAAGTTTCAGATCTGGCAGAGTTGCGCGCCACGGAGCGCCGCGAAAGTCTGTATTTCAAAAAATGTCGTGCCTTGCTTGGCCCTTTAACAAAGGTTTCTACAAAAAAGATGATCTAAAGGGACTAGTAGGTAAAATAAAGCCATCCATCAAACCTTAGTTTTATGCCAGGAAATCACTCTTAAGTTGTGGTTCTGAAATGTTTCAAGTTTTAAAGACCGTCAGAACTAGTGTCGGACAGCACCCCAAGAAACGCACCCCGGGTGCCTTTGAAACGCACCCCAGGGGGTCTTTGAAACGCACCCGGGGTGCCTTTCAAACGCACCACGGGGTCTGTTTGAAACGCACCCCGGGGTGCGTTTCAAAGGCACCCCACTCCCCCGGGGGTGCATTAATAGTGTCCCCGGGTGCCTTTGAACGCACCCCGGGGTGTCTTTCGGGGTGCGTTTGGGGGTGCGTTTTGGGGTGCGTTTCGGCCCCACAGGTGGCAAAGAATCGCAAGGGAAGCCGGTAAATAAAAGTATTTTTGGCATAGGAATATTACAGAAACCCTTATAAAACCTTATAAACACTTATAAAACCCTCCAATATGCTATTCTTGCCTTATTTCATACTCCAGTTACATCCTATTAATTGTTATCGGTTCCATTTCTGAAAATCACGTCAATAATTTCCATAATTTTTGCCAAAAGCATGAGTAAAAACATTTTAAGCCCCGATAAAATATGAAAATCGTACCATAAATCGTTTAAAACTCCAAGACAGCCTATCAAATGTATCTTACTGAAAGCGGAGCCGTAGGGCGGCATCAATTCTGTATAGAAAACATATCTGTAATATTCCTATGCCAAAAATACTTTTATTTATCGGCTTCCCTTGCGATTCTTTGCCACCTGTGGGGCCGAAACGCACCCCAAAACGCACCCCCAAACGCACCCCGAAAGACACCCCGGGGTGCGTTCAAAGGCACCCGGGGACACTATGAATGCACCCCCGGGGGAGTGGGGTGCCTTTGAAACGCACCCCGGGGTGCGTTTCAAACAGACCCCGGGGTGCGATTGAAAGGCACCCCGGGTGCGTTTCAAAGACCCCCTGGGGTGCGTTTCAAAGGCACCCGGGGTGCGTTTCTTGGGGTGCTGTCCGACACTAGTCAGAACGATCAAAATTTCGTTAAAAGCAAGAAATTGCGCACCCGGCGGTGGTCGAACCCGCGATGGTTCGCTCCACAGCCCGATGCGTTAGCCACTATACCACAGGGCCGACTGGAGAAGGGAATCAGAGGCGCCCCAAACCCCAGAGGGCGTTTGCCCAGTACGGGGCGCCACTAACGACGCCTCTCTCTGCGCGTTCTTGGGGGTGACAGTGTGCGTTCAAGAGTTTTAGCAGTCTTTCAGCCTAGTTAGAAGCGTTGCGTAGCGAAAAAGCGTTCGGGGAAGTCACGAAGAGAATAACCGGTTACAGGGGAAGTTCGAATCCCGGAATTGCTTAAAGCATCCAGCTAAACCACCCACTTCAACTCGGAGTATCTTCGCAAATATTTCGTCTCCTCGAAGCTCTGGCGGGCAATCTTGTCGTCCGTCTCGTCGTGCTTCCGCAATCGCGTCCTAAAATACACAATTTAGGTTGTAGTCTGTGGCTTACAATCAGGCAACGGAACACAAACTAGTCGAAGAGTGATAGGGGGAATTTGGCGACTTGCCAAATTCCGTACCGCTACGCTCAGCCCGAAGAAAGACGGCACAAAATATCTATTTTGTAAAACGAAAGCCATCTCAAAGGCATGTCTATATGCAAATTTGCATCAATGTTAGCCGAGCTGACACAGAGCTCTACGAGTTTTTGGGGGCCTTGATTTAATTATACGAATTAAGAAAACAGCAAATCGCTATTAAAGCTCATAGTTTCTGATTTGCTTTCTTTCTCTCTCATCTCTCTCTCTCTCTCTCTCTCTCTCTCTCTCTTTTCCCCTCTCCCTCTCCAGCTTAAAATCGAAAAAACTATTCGAAAAACTCTAGTCTAAAAAATCGCATGCAGAAAACGTATGAACTATTAGCTTAACATAAATTTTTCAATAAATATTCAATAAATTTAAATTAAAAACAATTCTATATTCTCGTAAATTATCCAAAAAGTGCCATTTTACAACTGGTGTGAGTGTAGATTAAATGACACGCCAAACGTTTAGAGAAACCAAAAAAATATCGAGTTTATGGTTAAAATATTAAATAAGGTCATGTCATTGTAAGGGAAAATCAAAAACTATGAAAACGAGGTTAAGATCTATTTAGAATTAAAAGTAACTCGGGGTGATTTTAGACAACTTCAAAACTTGGGGAGCATGACCTGGGGGTCCAAAAATACAATTTGGGCGCCATATACCCATAGTAAAAACTTACGCATCGTCACGCCACTTTTGTCTAAAAAGCGATTACAATTTTCCATATTGAAAATTTGATATTTTAAAGGGCGCCGGAAGGCAAAATCCATCTCGGCAGACGCTTGGCAAGAAGCCAATTTTTCCCGAAAGCCTGAAGAAAACAAAAACAACGAGTTTTTAGTCGTGTAACGGTATGGGACCAAAGCTGGCAACCTGCCAAAATCTGTCAAGCTGGTTTTGCCTTCACAGTCCCTTTAAAAACCTCACCTCCGCGCGGGTCGCATCTCAAACAGCATCCAAACGACTGTCGTCAGGACGGCGGCCAGGAAAATTAGAGCGGTGAGGAGGAGAATGAGCATTCGAAATCTGGAGAACGATAGCTCTTGCTCATGCTCTATGGCCGTATCTCGCTCACTCGCTCTCTATTTCTCTCTCCCTCTTTGTATTTCTCTCGCTACCCGGCTAGGGCAAACTAGCAAAGACCCTTTTGGGAATAACAGAAAAATCCACTTACTTGTAGCTCTCACAACACGACTTCTCCTCACATTCCGTCCAGTACCATGTCTCGCAGATATTCACCATGGCTGAAACTTCAAATGAAGAGAGACAGAGAGAGAGAGAGAGAGAGAGAGAGAGAGAGAGAGAGGAGCCAGGCGGAGCAAGCGATAGAGAGCGAAATATAGAAATTTCAAGCCTCGCGACTAGCAGCGTTTCTTTCGGGATTCGAAAAACCTAGACACCATGAAAACTCTCGAAAGGAAGTCAAAAACAGAGAGAGAGAAAACTCCCTGTCACCCTCCCTTTAAACTGCCAAATTCGAGTTGCAAAAATAAATGAGAAATGCGTGCGGCGAGTCTGTTTGTGAAGGTTGAGATGCTTGGTGTGCACGTCCGGTGGCCATGGGGTAGTGCCCTCGAGGGGATTGAAGCAAGAGACGGACAGAGAGAGAGAGGGCACTAGAAAAAGGAACTACCCTCCCGATGGCCGGTCTCTGTCGTCCCTTTAATTGAATCTACGCTCGGCACGACACCCCATGCCCCATTCTGAAGGCACACACGGAGATGGCCCTCATGGCGGGGCCGCCACTCGTCGTGTGGGCCAGAGGTGTGTGTTGTGGCTGATGGAAGGTCAGATTTGGACTCGGAAAATAGAAATTTAAAGAGACTGGGCAGGAGTAAGAGAGACCCCTAGGTATAGACTATAGACTAGGTCTAGACAGCCATAGGGATGGGTTGCGAATGAAAATTAGGCTAAAGGAAAACAAAAACGCTAGCAAAAAGTTTGTTTGAAATGGGGTACGATGACAAAGATGATTTGAGGATGGAAGGGCCAGGCTAGCAGTGATCATTTGGGAATGGAAGGGGCAGTCTAGCAGAGATCATTTGGGAATGGAAGGGGCAGTCTAGCAGATATCATTTGGGAATAGAAGGCGTAGGCTAGCAGAGATCATTTGGGAATGGAAGGGGCAGGCTAGCAGAGATCATTTGGGAATGGAAGGGGCAGGCTAGCAGAGATCATTTGGGAATGGAAGGGGCAGTCTAGCAGATATCATTTGGGAATAGAAGGCGTAGGCTAGCAGAGATCATTTGGGAATGGAAGGGGCAGGCTGGCAGAGATCATCCTATCCTATAAGCGAGAAAAGTATGTGTGTTTTCTGTCCGGGCGCTTTCTCGGCCGTCAGGCCGAATACCGCGCTGATTTTTGGCATGGAGGTGAAGAAACACATTCGCCAAAAACGGTTTTTTGGATTTTTTGAAATTCCTTCATTTAACAATTTTACAAGCAAAAAAGTGAAAATCCTTAACAAAACGGGTGACGCGCCGTGGTGTTCGGGCCATAACTCGAAGTACTGATGGAATTTCGGTTTGTAATTTGGACCACTTATGTATTCGATGGTGGGGATCACGCGCATCTCATTATTTTTACAAATTTTCGGCGCATTCAGACTAAAAACGTTAATTTTGTAAAGTTACCAGAATAACCCCGACCGGGCGTGACCGACCCCCAGGGCAGAAGAGGCCTTTCCCGCCACCCGTCCCAATGCCCCCGTTGGTATAGTGGCTTGGCGCCCGGTCCACCACGCCCATAGTCGAAGGTTCGGATCCTCGGCAAATTTACCTTTTTGCTTTTTGATATTTCAAAAACAAAACTTATTTCCGGACTCTCGGTATCCGAAATCTAGGCCAGGCCCTCACTCTAGCGCCGCAGGCCAAAAAAAGTCCCTTGGCCCTGGCTCTCGCGCCGCAGGCCAAATGCTAGAGAAAAACAAGTAGCTAGCGCCGCAGGCCAGAGAATGGTTCCTAAAGTCAGGCTCTTGCGCCGCAGGCTTGAAAAACGGAAGGAGGTTATATGGTTCCTAGGCGGGGGCCAGTGGAAAAGGGCCGCGAAGCGGACATTTTCCACTGGTTTGGGAATAGAAGGCGTAGGCTAGCAGAGATCATTTGGGAATGGAAGTGGCAGGCTAGCGGAAATTCCAAAATATACTGAGCCCGGACTTCCCTAAAAATTTGTTTGCCACTCCAGCAAAATCACTTCCCGGAGCATGTCCAAACCACCGAGATTTCGTGTTTTTCGCGTGTGGCCAGCGGGCCCTAAAAAGGGGCCGTAAGCCGGTCTATCCCGCATAGTCGACGATGGGCGGATAACAACCCAATTTCCCATCAAAATTCTCCTCCATCTATATGGCCATGGCCAAATCGAGGGATTTGAGATGCATGGCCTATGGACGGGGGGTTGTGGCTGAAGGGCCATATTTTGAGGTCAGCCTGGCGGGACATGCGGCAAGCCGTCAGTTTTTATATCGGGATTTTCATAAGAGACCAATGAACTGAAGATATAAGGAAAATCGAATGTTTGGGTTACTAACTTTTGAAAATACATTCAAATGAAAGGCAAAACGGGCAAAATTTTGTTGACGGGAGATTTTGAATTTGTGGCAAGCAAGCAGAGATTATTGAGGAAAACTTGGATTGACAAGAACTTGGATGGATTGGGCTTGGAAATCATTTAGGGACGGCTTTGGACATGAATGCGCTACTTGCGTGTTTCGAAGTGCCGCGTGTCTGTCAAGAACCAGCCAGTGGACGAGCCTTTGCTGAGATGGCAACAACTTGGCAGGCGAGCAAAGCTTATCTGGGAATTTCAGAAGAGCACGAGGCAAGAAAATTATGGCTATAACTGATAGTGATCAAGAAAAGTCATAAATTTCCAGAAATCAAGAACAATGCCCAAAATATCATCACAAGACGACCCGGGGACGTTTTTCTCGATTTCTCAACGCCCCGGGGCCACCAATAAACAACGGCTGCCCCGTTCCATCTCGACCCCCTCCTAAGGGTCCCGGCAAGAAAAACAGCTTCTCCCCCCCTGGTAAGAGACCCTTTTGGCGGTCTTTACCATGGGTTGTCCACACCCCCCAGAACACCCCCCAGTGTCCTCCATTTTCCCCAAAAAGGGGAGCAGATGGCTTTCGGATGAGGGCGACGGAAACGAATTCTGTATTTTTTCTGACAAGGAGACGTTTTTAGGTGGGCACGGAGTTTCGGAACGGGACCTAGCCTATCTTGTGCAGAATTTTTCGCTGATTAAAACGTACTTTGTAGAATTTGCGAAACGACCGGAAAACCAAAGTTATGAGGGTTTAAAGTGTGAAAAAGGCCCAAAATGGCCTACTTTCGGCACCTATAAAATATAGCAGAATTTCAAACGCGCGAAAATTTCAAAATTTCGGCAAATTGCTGAAATTTCACATGGGGGACCATGTCGTCTAAATTAATCTTTTTGAAAAAATGTTCGGACTTGTTTCATGAGATGGCTGATTCGAAAGAGCGTGATTTTCTGAGCAAGATGCACTAATTAGTTTTCGTGGAAACTTATTCTGCTATATTTTATAGGTGCCGAAAGTAGGCCATTTTGGGCCTTTTTCACACTTTAAACCCTCATAACTTTGGTTTTCCGGTCGTTTCGCAAATTCTACAAAGTACGTTTTAATCAGCGAAAAATTCTGCACAAGATAGGCTAGGTCCCGTTCCGAAACTCCGTGCCCACCTAAAAACGTCTCCTTGTGAGAGGAGCGGAAACGTAAACAATCATATTTTCAGTGGGTGTTCGACGAAAAGAAAAATATACAAATTTTAGTTTATAGCGTGGGCCGATGCCGCAAATAGGCGCGGCTGGGCTAGATTGCAGAGGCTCGAGAAGTTCAAGCCGTTCGCGAGGGGTCGTAAACGTAATCGTAAACGTAAACGCAAACAATCAGATTTCAGGGGGTGACCAGGGAAAATCTACAATTTAACTGCAAAAGGATGGGTAGCTCTTGGCAGAAACCGATCCTCTTTAAAACGGCACGTACTGATTCATTGTAACGTGGCAGGCTAGCAGAAATCGTTTTGATGGCCTAAGCCAAAGCCAAAACCAAAGTCTAAGTCTTTGGAAAGGCGCAAAGACCAGAAATTGTATATTTTTATTGTTTTTGCAGCTTGGTTGAGCTTTGTTGATCTGTTTAAAACACGCTGCAACGCAGGCTAGCAGGGAACACTTAGGAAGATTCCGGCGTTGCATCGCTAGCAAGGCGGGCTAGCATAAAAATGTCCGTAACTTTGGCTGACAGCGCCATGACCAGGCAGGCCAGCAAACAGAGCTAGGATTCTTAAGGGCCAGCTAGCGGAGATTTTTTGCCGTTTTTTGAACAGGTGCGGATAGTTTTCGAAAAAAAAATTGATCTTAAAATCATAGCCCGGGGGCGCGAACGGCTTCTTTTGGTGACTCCGTCGCAAGGGGCTACTGCCGGGGGGGAGGGTTTAGAGTTTTGCGTTCGTGGGAGAAGACGCAAATTCAGAAGGAGGAGGAAGCATCTGGAGGCAGGGGAAATAAACAAAGCTGAAAGTTTAAAGGGGCTTGAAAGCGCGCGGATCGAACCCCTTTAACTAGCTACGTCTCGACAGTTACGCTACGTGCGAAAAAGTGCGATGCATAGGTTTGGGCGCGTTTGAATCAGTAATTTGGTGTGATACGTAATGAGACGTCAAAATCCATAATTTGCCTGGCCGGGACCTCTAAAAACATACAGAAGCGTTTTTAATAAAGCCAACATGAACAACAGCGGTTTCTTAAGTAAAGAATAGTCAATCGCTGGCCACAGAAATAAACGTCAAAACGACTCCGAAAACATTCAGAATCCACTGCATTTAGGAGTGGAACGGAGCCGCTCTGGACCTTCGGGTGGTGCCTCCACTGGCCGTCAATCAGCCCCCGGCCGAGGGGTCAGCAGCACGCAAGTTGTTTTTTCGGCCTCTTTCGGCCCTCCTAGGGTCCATACTAGGGGCCCAAAATGGGACCCAGGGCCCTGAGGAGGCCCAGG